AATTCTGCTCAAGCTGATTGCCCTCTGATCTGCACTTTGAATACCCCCCCCCCCCCCCCCTTTTCTCCAACTTTCCCTTCTCACCTCAACAGGCTGATAGACTATTTCAGCAGGTCCCATCCCAACTATAGACACTGCAGACTGTTGCTTCAGGAATCCGACTCTGCCTCCCCTGCTGCCCTCTCCTAAGGTGGCCTCCACTGGACACACTCACCCAGACCCAGTGGACGGAAAGGAGGTGGAGTGGGAATCCTATCCCCACAAAGCACTTTTTAAGTTCTGCCTTCACCTCCCTCTCTATCCCGGTCCTCTTTTGAAACACACCATATTCGCCTATGCTCTCCAATTTCATTAAGGATTGCTGTTATTTACTGACCCCTGGACTGGTATGTCACTTTCTTGATGACTTCTCTGCCTGGCTACCCTACTTTCTCTCCTCAGAAATACCCACTATCATTCTTGGTGACTTTAACATTCCACTCAATTCCTTAACATAACCTCTTCTTTTGACCTAACACAATGGACACACACACACTCCTACTCACTCTGATGGTAACATACTAGATCTAGTTTTCTCTCACCTATGCAGTCCTTGCAACCTCTCCAACACCCCTTTTCCACTCTCTGACCACAAACTTGTCAGTTTCACACTCACCCTGTCCCCAACCCTGAATCCCCTACAGGGCACACTGTCACCTGGAGAAACCTTCGCCACCTCAATCCTTCTCTTCCCCCCTCTGCTACTGACTACCTCTATGACAAAATCTCACCCCTTTCCTGGCTTCTTCTGACAACAGCTCGCTCTCATCCTTCATTGACACCTTGGCTCCCCGCAGACTTCGACCACGTCAACTACAACCGTGGCAAACTAAAGAAACCAGACATCTAAAAAGACATAGCCGTGCTCTTGAACGACTGGTGGAAAACCTAGACTTCTGCAAGACTTCACCCTGTATAAAGCTGCCCTCCTAAAATATAACTCCTCTTTCCGTGCTGCCAAACAGACTTATTTTGTAACCCTCATTAACACACTCTCATCCAGACCACGTCAACTTTTTCTACTTTTAACTCTCTACTGCGTCCTCCACCACCGCCCACTATCTCAATCACTGCCCAAGGCATTGCCATTCATTTCAAAAACAAAATAGATACAATTTGGGATCAGATCACCACTGTCCAATCAGCTTCCCCAATTAACCTTCCTGGTGGTAATCCCGAGTGTGGCTCGGGGTTAATTTTCTGTACCAAAAGCAGTAACCCCAAGCCACACTCTGGTGTCTTCTGGGTTCCTTCCCTGCGAGCGCCGGCATTGTAGGGGGGCGGAACCGGCGAGAAATTCAGAAGTAAAAAATAGAAAAAAGAAAAACAAATAATCATACCGCCATGGAGGTTAATGTACCAGACCCACCATCACACTTGTTACTTCCCTCTTTTGACCCTGTCACCACAGAGGAAGTTACAAAGCTTTTCTGACACCCACCTCACCACTTGCCCCCTGTACACAGATCCCTCACCACTACTTCGGTCACCCGCTTACTCTATCCTAAACTCTCTTACTCAAATTTTCAATCTTTCCCTCCCTTCTAAAACATGCGCTAGTCACCCCAATACCCAAAAAACCCTCACTGGACCCTACCAACCTCAACAATCTCAGACCAATCTCCTTACTCCCATTCATCTCCAAACTCCTAGAACGCCTTATCTACAGCCGCCACCTCGCTGATAACCTTCTCGACCTCATATAAAGTGTATATAAATCTAAAATTTCCACTAAAATTTGGGTCTCCAAGTACCGGTCCGCGGCCAACTCCGGCCCGCGAGCCAGTACTATGTGTGCCTGACTTGCGGGAGCAGCTCCACGGTCTGCTGATATCTCAATCCGTTTTCTACATGTCTCATCTGAATCTTTTATATTTCCTTTTCTTAAGCTCCAACTCAATGTTTCTCTATTTCAATCTATATCTCTCTGTTTCTCTATCTCTCTAACTCTATATCATGACAGGAGCTGCTTGGCAGGTTTTCCAGCGTGCTCGGAAGACGAAAGTTGTGCGACCTTACGGTAGAAGCGGTCGCATGCTGTCCATACACCTGCCGATTATTGAACGATCGCGGGATCCTATGTAACATGTGCGGCACAATAGGTGCAATCGTCGTTTTCGCACGTATGTGCATCCGACGCATATCTGCATGTGTATGTGGGGAGACTTAAAAAATGTTTTCTTTTCTAATTTTTTTTATGCTTTATTTTTTTTAATGATTCTTTAATTTTTGTATTACTTTATTTTTTTTTGCACACAACTTTATTGCTATTACATGGTGGGCTAAGGAGCCCCCTATGGGATAGCCAATTTACATGACAGGTCCTCTTTATGGAAACATCAGGGGTCTCCAAGACCCCTAATGTCACCTAGGGACCCCCAGAGAAGCTGATGAAGCAGAGATCTGCTTCATCAGCATCTCTAGCTAGAGAGTGACACTGAATGCAGGAAGTGATGTAATATACATCACTTCCTGCGTTCGGGGACTGAGAGGAGATCAAAGGGAGTTCGTATACTGAACTCCCTTTGATCTCCTGTCACAGAGCCGTGCCGGTCACGGCCACATCGGATCTCGGGACCGGCAACGGCAGTGACAGCTGCTAATACAAGCGATCGGGCGTCTCTAGAGACGCTCGATCGCTTGACTGTGTTAAGCTCCCAGCTGGCCGTGTAATTACAGCCGGCTGGGAAGCTGCTCGTCGGGCTCCACCGTCCTCTCGTCACAGACGAGTGGATTTTTCAAGCCCTGTATATTATTATTATATAGTGTGTGTTCTGCTGCCTGGCTACCACAATATGGCACACAGCGGAATATTGGCAGCACTCAACGCGCGCGCACAATGCCCTACGTGTGCGTTTATTAGCATGAAGATAGCGGGGGTTACTATAAATATTTTATTTTTATATATTTTTTACTTTATTTCTTTACTTACAAGCCCCCATGTGATAGGAGGTGACAGGTTGTCTTTATGGGCCCTGCCCTCCAGCACATATCTTCTTTGCAATTTCTGACAGTTGAGACAGGTGGTGCTGTGATTATAGCGCTTCGCACCCGGTGATCACGCAGAGCTCCGCTCCCCGCTCTCAATCCACAACTGTGGTCCCTGGTCCCCCAGAAGAACAAGGACCCCGAAAAACCACGACAGGGGGAGGGCGTACAAGATCGCTGCTCTGTTTGCTACAAGTAATCTGATCAGATCACTTTTATAAAATGTGCAGCGGTTCCCCACTGTACATTTAGCTCTGCTTGCCCGAAGTTGGGCTAAATGTACACAAAAAAAATTCCGCCTGCAGCTGCATGTCTCGGGCAATACGAATTCCCATCTTCTTTTAACAACACTCTGTAAACGTCTGGGAACTGAGGAGACCAGTTGCTGGAGTTTTGGGAGAGAAATGTCCCATTCTTGCCTGATATAGGATTCTAACTGCTCAACAGTCCTGAGTCGTCTTTGTCATATTTTTAGTTTCAAGATGCGCCAAATATTTTCAATTGGAGAAAGGTCTGAACTGCAAGCAGGCCAGGTAAGCACCTGGACTCTTGCTGTGGTCATAGATGCAGTATGGGGTTTAGCATTGTCCTGCTAAAATATGCAAGGACATATTAGACATTGACCTAGACAAAAAGACACTGGATATATCTTTCAGCATTGATCGTGCCTTTACAGATGTGCAAGCTGCCCATTCCATATGCACTAATCGGGTGCGGTATTCCTATCGCCCAACGCCGGGACATATGCTGTGCTCGCCCTTCTGTATTGGAGGGCGGCTCTGTAAAGAGAGCCTGTCTCCTTCAAACCCTATCACATAGGAGCTTGTTAGCCCTTGTGTGATAGAAATAAGGTTAGGTGAGAAAAAATGTAATGATGAATAATGAAATTAAAAAAAACTGCCCCTTCCATCTGCATGCGAATAAACACATAGAGCGTTGTGTTTCTGTGCATGCTGGGTGCTGCCCCCATTCCACCGTGTGCCATATTGTGGTAGTCAGGCAGCAGCGCTCTCTAACACGCATGTGCATTAAAGGGTACATTCACTTTGCCAAGTAATTTGGGAAAGTGGAATTACCCGCTTAAATGTGGCCCCCCTCTCCCCCCGCTCTACTTGCCTTTCAGTCAACGGTCCTTCTCGTCTGCCGGTACGAGTGTACTATCTATACCCAGGGGTGTGGAAATTATTGAAAAAACTACTTGTCCAAGGACTAAAGCGGGGGCTCGATCTACTTGTCCCTCATGACAAACTACTTGTCCTGATACAACATTTTTTTTTTAACCAAAACTGTTTTTAGCAGTGCTAAGAAGAGCTTCTCATTGGTCAGGGCCGTCGGGTGACCGTGTTAACCAACGGGTGCTCGCAATTTGGGACCGAAATTCAGAATACATGGAACAGGTACAGATAGTACACTCGTGGACGGGAAGGACCATTCGCCGAAAGGTAAGTATAGTGGGAGGGAGATTTGTGTGGGTAATTCAATTTTCCCAAATTACTTGGGAAAGTGAATTTACCCTCTAGGGTTGGTGCAGACTTGGGCAATCCCGGGACGCGCGATCGTGTGCGGTTGCATTAATCTGCGTGGCAATCGCTAAAGAAAGGTACATGTACCTTTTTTTCACGACACGCAGTGTTTTCAACCGCAATCGTGTGGGACCGCCCCGGCGGTATTACGGTGGGAAACTGTGCGATCTGCCTGGCGTGACTGGAGTGCCATTAGAAAATAATGGTACTGCCAGCGCGATCGTCGGTGGTGTGCGATTCCGTGACCACCCAACCATCCGCTCAGTTTCGTGAACGATGACCGGACAGTCATGGATTGCACACCACCGCCGATCACTCTGGGAGTGCCATTATTTTCTAATGACACCCCAGTCGTGCTAGGCAGATTGTGTGGATTCCTGCCGCAATACCGCCCTACCTGTGCGGTTACACACGATGGTGGTTGAAAAAAGTGCATTTATTCGCACTTAGATGGTGGGGGCAGCGGGGCTGGTTTTAATTTTTTTCAATTTTTATTTACTTTGGAAACATGTAAACTTTGTTGCCCATCTTTACTTCTGAGACACTTTGACTCTCTCTAATATGCTCTTTTTATACCCAGTCATATTACTGACCTTGTTGCCAATTAACCTAATTAATTGCAAAATGTTCTTCAAACTTTTCCTTGTTAGTACCACTTTGCCAACTTGTTATTACCCTGTCCCAGCTTTTTTGAAACCTGTTGCTGCCATCATTTATAATTTTTTTTTAAATGGTAAATGTTCTCAGTTCAAACGTTGCATATCTTTTCTATTGGGAATAAAACATGGGTTTATGAGATTTGCAAATCATTGCATTCTGTTATGTAGATTTTACAGTGCAGGGGTGTGGAAATTAAAAAAAAACAAAAAAAACAAACTACTTTTGCTTTCGAATCGAGCTGACACTGAATACTAATACCGGTGTTTCCGCTGGCATGGAGCAGGCTTCCCTGGTAATCAGGAATGACCTGATTGACCAGAAAACTGGCTCGATGCTGATTGGCCAGGAAGCCGGCTTTCCTGCCATCAGCAAGGAGCCGGCTTCCTGGCCAATCAGAAAACCAGGAGGCGTGTCATTACTTGCCGCACGGCTTCCTAATTTCACAGGAAGCTGCCTCCATGTTCCCCTACGGCACTGCCAGTCAGAGGAAATTTTCATCTGGCCGTAAGTTCCAATATCGGGGAAGGTATCGGAGCATTTCGGTGGGTATGAGTACTCGCCCAAATACTCGTTATCGGCACTGATGCTAGTATCGCTGCACCCCGAATCAAAGCATATTTGACTGCTAAGTAGCGCTTCTCACTGGTCAGCGCAGTCATCTGACCACGTTGACCAATGAGTGCTTGCAATTTGCGAGCGAAATTCTAAATGCATAGGGGAGGACTGCGCTGGACAGCAGTACGGGGCACAGATAGTACACCCATACTGGCGGAGGGGAGGGATTGTTTGCCGAAAGGCAAGTATAGCCAGGGGGGTGGTGGTTTGGGAGAGACGGGGCCAGATTTAATCCGGTAATTCTTATTTTTCCATATTACCTGGGAAAATGAACTTACCCTTTAATGCACATTGTGTGTGTGTGTGTAAGAGAGAATTCTGGTTACCACCATGGAATGGCGCCTGCAATCTCACAGCACATGCAGAATGTCCTACACGGGCGTTTATTTGCATGCAGATGGAGGGGACAGCAGGGTTTTTTTTAAACTTTTTTTAAATTTTCTTAAAATTTTAATTTATTTACTTTTTCCACTTAATGTTGTTATTCCTATCACATAGGGGATTAATATCCATTATGTCATAGTTTGGAGGTGACAGGTTCTTTTTACCTGCCCTCCAATGCAGAACAGCTGTTCTGTGTAGTTCCTGACAGCCGAGACAGGTGGCGCTGTGATTTCAGCGCCACGGTTTCAGAGAGAGCGCGCATGTTCTTCGTCTGCTCTACAGGCTCTATGGCTGTGCCGTAGTTTTCGGGGTCCCCCAGGAAAGCGGGGGACCCCGAAAACTACGGCGGGGGGGGGGACCACAACAAACGCCGG